CAAATCTAAGACACCTAATAGAACTTATAGGTACGTTCAACGTTAACGACTAGATATTAGGGCTTGAAGGGAGTATTGACATGCTGTGTTTACGTCTCATTTACTAGTATAGCACAATGTATCTAGTATATAAGGGTGCACATATATGCACATATATCTAAGTGCCATTCCAAACTCCCTGTCTTAACAATCCTACATCACAAAACCGAGTATATGTGTACCCTGTAAGCACAGTAATTTTTAGAGAGTGTAAAGAGAATTTTATGTGGAGTTTTACATGTGCTAGATTTTTTGCAATCTGACCCAAGCACAAGGACAAGTAGGTTTGTGTGAGTTCTATTTTCTCTAACTCAATACACTCCGAACCATTCTGAAATATTTTTACAGATTCTGAAGCACATTAAATAGAGGAAAATTTAGGTAGCTCATTCAATGCAATTGACAGCCTATTTATTGAAAAAAATGCATTTCTGTCGCCTTTTTTTTTTTTTTGCATACTACATGTCACAAATACACGTGATTTTGGATTTTGCCATTACTTTTGCAAATAGCTGTAATGTCCATTTCCCAAATATCAAAGGGAAGACATACTATTTTTTTCAAAATGACGTCGGCCAGTCCGACTTGGATGCCTCATCTAAGATGGAACAGACACACGGACTTTGCTGAACTAAATTTATCTTTATGTTCTGTTACTTGTCTCCTCAATCCGCATTTATTCTACCTCATATTCTAATAATATTTATTGATCTTGTTACAAATGGGTCATGACACCCTATACTTCAAGATGGGCCACATAAGTAGAAAGGGTAATGTTATGTAACCATAACAACGACTCTATCTTGCTTGTGAGATAACTCCCGAGCAAAGTTGTAGACACTACACGACAACGCAACGCGGCTGTCAAGCTCAATCCAGTAGTTGAACCAATACTATTCCAAATCCTTGGCATTCTACATCATCAAAAATCAATAAGCGATGTGACACTGCAAAATATTACTATCGGACAATAGGTAATATGCATATCGGATGTCGCCACACGTACACAGCACGGCAAGAGTTCCAGCCAAGGAACTCGAGGATGCATCCGCATTGAAGCGTCCTCCTGATCCTCAGCCACGTGGCACACACGCGATGCAGGGTGGAAGAAGCGAGCATAACTAAAAGTCTACCAATACTACTAGTACTAGTATGTCTTATCGGACTTAAAGGACACGGGAAAAACGACAGAAACGACAAAGTCCAGAAATGACACGAGGGAACTAATCATCATGCCTGTGGCGTACCATACAGGATGGGCAATCAGTCCCACGTGGCAAAGCAAAGTCTGCATGCGATGCACCGCAAACATATCCTGAAATCGAAACGGAGATAATGATGGAAAAGCCCTGAAATCTAACCCGAGCGGCTTTTTTTTCTCCTTACGAAAATTAACGGCGGTATTCCATTTCCAAATCATCGGGTGCACTCAACGGATTGTTTAGAAGAGAGTGGAGATACGCATTGGCAGCAACTTTGTGTTCTCTTGATTCACATGCAACATCAGACAAGCTTGTTCAAACAAGTTAGAGACAGACAGAAGCAATATTTATTCCGAGTCGAGGAAGAACGGAAATAACCAGTTTTTCCGGAAGTCCTTATTGGGGGAAGCATACACAGATGAACAAATGCACCCAACAACCACAGGTTCAAAACGACGGAACAACGGAGTGCGTAAGAAAGGAAGACAAAGCAAACAAACCGCTGGCCATGAGCGCACGATACTAGTACTCAAAGAGGTTGAACTACGAAGGGCACGGAGCAAAAGACTAGTAAAGACAAGCAAGGCATGATAAAAAAAGTAAACGTCGTATTGATGGAGAAAGAATAAGTAGAATACGGGAAAGTCGATAGCCAATAAGTAGTAGACTGGTACAAAAACAAGATAGAATAGGGGTCCAGGTGTTTCGGACAGAAAAAGGAAGGAAACGATGCAGATCTTAAATATAGAAATACACGTGCGTTGGGATGATGAGTGCGTGACCAAGTTAACCCCAAAGCCCAAAACAGAGGAAGGAAAAGAACGAGAAGTGAGAATACAGGGACAGGTAGGAAGGGAGAGATCCTTCACCGAGCAGACCGAGTATTGAGTCATCCAGTCGTGCGGCATGTCGTAAGGTTGTTTCATACAATAATTAATTTCATATATCAGTTTACCGGACGCAGTCTATCGCCTTCTTGAACGAGCACGCCAGTCTTCGCGAGTGCCGCCGCGGCGCGTGTCACTTCTTGTACGTCAAAGTCGTCGTGTTTGTCGGCCGGCATTGCTGCATTTAGGTAGTTCACTAGAGCGCCGATACTGAGTTCGTCCCCGTGATCATACGTCGTTTTGAAGAGATGCTCGACTGATGTTGAGATAAACGCCAAACTATGAAAAAGAATAAGACTTCTGTGCATTGCTGGCACACTGGTCAAGATGAGACTTACCGGCCACTTGCCGAGCGAAGTTCAGCTTTTGCTGACGTGTCCTCAGCCCGTTGGCGGGACTGATGTGAACCACGGCCGTGATGATAATCGTGCGGCTGTCGGCGGACATATTCATATTGGCGCCTCCGGTCTCGCCCAGGCTCCTCGTCCATTTCTACGTCCACATCGTGCTCACCATCGGCATCTTCGTCCATTGACACGTCATCCATGTCGTCCACAGATGGGGCCCTCCGTAGTGCATACGACGGTGCGTCGTACTTGTAGTGATTAGCTATTGCTGCTGCTTGTGCCGACAACTTATATCTCCCACTGGATGAACCATGTGAAGACGACGGTGCGTATGACGGAGGGGGAGGGGGCCTCGCGTACGGATGACCTGACGCCTTTTCATATCTTTGCCTATGAGAATAAGAAGGTCCGTCTTCGTCTGGAGAATCCAGCTCGAGTGAACGGTGACGAGGGAGAGGACGGTCGTCTTCAGATTCAAGGTCGTCATCAAATGAGCCGTCTGCGTCCAGGTCTCCGTTGTAGCGAGATGCACCATGACCAGAATAACCGCCATAACGCGAGTCGTACGGCCCATGGGGCGAGTAGCCGTGAACCTTCTCCTGTCGACGTTGGCTAAGAAAGTAAATAAGTAAGAGACATAACAGAACATTTACGGGAAACCTACTACCGTGCCAAGCACTTGCTGCGGTGTTGATGCCATGGATAAGCACAGAACGAACTGTCCTGGCGGAGCTGGACCCATTTGCCGCAAAGACCACAGAAAACACGGTTTGGTTCGACTTCACGTAGAAGTGGATCCGCCTTAAGTGCTGCTGCACGTTGCTCTGCATTTTTCCTACGAGCATCATGCGAAGCAAGTGCCGACGGTCCGGAAGCAAGTTCGCGCAGTGCAGTCGGCGGAGAGCAGTCCGGGCCAGAGGCATATGAGCCACTTGCCATCGATGTTGGTGTCGCATACGGAGAGCCTCCACTTGTGCGCGCAAAGGGTACTGGTGCAGGGAGTGAGCCAAGGGAAGGAGCAGGTGCACGAGACTTTGAGCTAAGCGACGGTGCTACCGAAGTTATGGAGGAGTGCAAACGATTCACTGGTGGATGTCCTGCTCCTCCGCTCGCACTCGTATGTCCATTTGGAATAGCGACACCTGAAATGCCATTCATTGCTGAACGTCCAGGTGATGCAATTCCTACATCTGCGGATCGGTGATCAACAGGTAGAGCACTAAAGTAAAATGATAGTTAACAAATGTAGATGCAAACCACAGCGCAATGTCCAATGAAGAGAAAAATTAGGTTCGAACGTAAAAACGAAAACAAAGCTTGAAAATAGAAGGACGGGAAAAAATGGGCGGTATTTCTCTATGTACCTGAACGGATGACGGCCCTGAGAAGAACGCGCACGGCACTCATCGTGATGCGCATACCAGGTCTGCAATGCATAATACGTATCATCAGCCCGTATGGGGATCCATCGGTCGCAACGGGCGCACATGACGCGATCCACGTCGACCATACGAACGTCTGGATCTCTTCTCAGAATGGCCACTTGGCCTTCTGCAGCACCCTCATCCCTGGCATTTGCATACCTGAGCACACCAACCCATTGCAGCGTGAACACAATCCAGGACCGCGTATCAGTCAAAAGAAGCAACAATTGACAGATAGCCCAATTGCCGCCCGGATTTGGTCCGCATTGAAGTATAATTAACGCAAATACGGCACGTCATGCCGTGCATGTGTTTTGTAAAAAAGGTGGGGATAAAGAGCAGGATCCAGACAGATCCAAAGACATGGCGAAACAGCCATGAGTGGCGGTAATGCCGGCACCATCCAGGAGGCCCGATATTGGCAAATGGTTTTGAAAGAAATAGGCACCAAAGAAGCAGAAGCGATGTGGTTGGTTGAATGTTGTGATTCAAAAGGGTTGAAAGCATGCATGATCAAGAAAAGAAGGGGAAGAGATTACCAAAATCAGCAATGCGCGAGAAAAAGCCGAAGAAAAGGAAGAAGAATGCGGAAGGACGCGAACATGGTGCGGGATTGCGAAAAGAAGCAAGGGGAGAGGGGAAAGGGAAAGGTCCTCACGCTTTTTTAGACAGACAACTTTTGCGATGGGCATCCCACGGGATTGAACAGTAAGTCGAATTGGGTCGAAGGCGGATCCATTTGTTGCATGATCCACAAAGGACACGATAGGGCTCGAATTGGGCCACGTAAGGATCCGAGCGCAGATATTCAATGCGTTCCTCTTCTGTGCGTTTTGCCCGACGCTTCTTTAGAGGCGGATTCGCCATAGAGTCCACGGTCGTCTCGGGCGTGAAAACAATTGGCTCTGGACGGGGGTCGTGTCGCAGGCGGCTGTTAAACGGTAGAGAAGGAGACGAGAGAAGCAGCAATATTAGTCAGAAACACGTCCTTAATGTATCGATATTTATAAGGTAGACAAAGCTCGGGGGAGCGATACGCACCATTGATCCCGGTGCATGTCCCAGAGCCTGAGAGTGAAGCCTCCCGACTGAGGGTCGCGGAAAGGGACACCCTCTCCGCAGGTGCCGCAGACGACGAGGCCCTTTTCATAGTCGTCGACGGATGGTTTTTGCTCGTCCTGAGTGCGCTTCGGCGAGTGTGCAGGAGAGTTTGCGGGACTCGGGCTCTGTTTGGAGCGTCGATCGCCAGACATGATTGAGGCTTCTTCCTTGGGCGAGTCTAGATTCTGCCTGTCGCGTCCTGCAGACGACGCACGTGAGACGGGCGATTTGCGCTCCATCGGTCTGGTGTTATATCAATATCAATATCATCATAATCCAACCCAAGACAGTCAGTTGATCGACGACACAACAGCAATTACAAGACAGCAGTGGGCACCATGCGTAATAGTCAGACGATGTAGCATATGGCGACTGGACAAAAACCCGATACGTACGGTGAAGGCAGCGTACTGACGCGAGGAGGGGCAACAGCACTTTATTACCTTGTCAGTATACTATAGCAATCAACGTGAACAAGAGCTATCGTACATCGCCTCCATTGAGTGGGTGCAAAGGAGTGAGTAGTCAACAGCGCCTGACTTATTGGAGACTGGGAGTGGCCAGGGGCGCTCGAGTGATTCCTGGCGGCGCACCGGGTGCGAGCAGGGCTGGCGGACGACTGGACAGAGGACCGGGGGTTGGGGAGATACAAAGGACAGAGGCAATCTGAAAGTGCATTGCGCTTCAAATAGTTCTGACTGAGACGCGCTGGAAGAGGGAAAGGCAGAAAAAGATCTCTCAGAAAAACAAATATTGGATCGCAAACCCAATTTGGCAGGGACCCCGGACGCCACATTTTGAATCACCCATTGCAGAACCAGATGTTTTCGTCCGCCGCATCCCATCCCCGGCCTGGTTGGATCTGTTCATCGCTTGTGAGGCGGTGGCTCCTAGCTGATTTCTGCGGCGTCTGCAGTGCGGACATGGTCAGCGAAACAGCGACACAGTAAATATTTCTCGTCACGCATCACGCGTGAAAAGTAAATATCCGAAAGAGGCAGGGCCAGGAACAGAACTCAGAACTGACAGGAGGAGGAAGATCTTGATTTACATTGAAATTCTAGAGTGTGTCCCTGTGAATAACACACTCGGAGGCTAGGCCTGCCGTCTCTTGGGCAGTTTCCGCATTTATTTCGAGCAACAGAGAGACAGCGACACACACATGTCTCTCCCGTCTTCTTTCTCTCTTCTGCTCGGCTTGTATTTCCCTCCAGCTCGCGTGCATTCCGCCACGTAGTTGGCCTTACTCATGCGGCCACCAAATGCTCGCACACGCCATCAACATCCATCTGCAACAATGACGGGAACAACATATCACTGCCGCTCCTTCCGCGCTCTCGCCCAGATAGGCAGCCAGGATCAGGCCCTTCCAAGTCCCGCCAAGTGTCCAAACTCAATTATCATCTCGATCAGTCCTTCCACTCGTCCTTTCTAATATTCCATTGTTCCTGACTGCCGGGCGTCGTGATTTCCACACATATGTTTTCCACATCCATATATTTATTATACATTCCCAATCACCTGTCTTTCTGTCGTCATTTCGATCACAGGTCTTTATTTGTCCATCTTGCCCTGCCACCCACAGGTCATATCATTCCACTGATGTGCAATTCTTTCCCTTCGGCGTGTCAGATGCATCACATGTCTTCCGTCCGCGCCGATATCGCTGAAATTATTTTATGTTCTGCCGGTCGGGTTCCTGGACCATCTCTGTCGTTGAACTGCTCTGGTGCTCACATCCTCGCTTCTGCCGCAATCTCCCACGTGCATTTGCATGTGCACCGCGCCTGCACTCGACATGAACTCTCTCAGACTCAGAATCTAAGGCACCAAAGGATTTGTGAATATTACAAATAGAAACTTAGAAGGGAAGAACAGGAGGCGAAAGGAATTACGAAAGGTCCTCTAACGCATTGTATGGTCTGTCACAGCTTCACAGCTTCCATCCTATGCATGGAACACATCTCGTAAGTTCTTTACAGCCACTTTTATGTGACCCTTTCGTCATCTGACGAGAGCTATGTTGTGATCAGCTTTTATAAAATTTTCTTTCTCTACAGCATACCCATCTTGATGCTCTGCTATGCTATTTTCACCGTATCCACAGCGTCCTTCCCAATCAGATCGCATAGGTGAGCCATTAGTTCTGCTTTAATATCCTGATTGTGATGGGATGGGATTCTAATATGCAATGTTAATTCACTCTCAGACGCGCGCAGCCTTCCGGGCTCGTTTGGGCTGATAAATAATCACAATTGACAGTGATTTCAATGCTGATATTGATCGTTTCAACTCAACTGACACTGACATATCATAGGTGTATTCCCAAGCGCCGTGAGGTTTGCTGATTGGAACGACCCATTTTCAGTACCCATTTACACACACCTGCATTCTTTAGGAACGTAAATGCTCGCTCGGCCCCGTAGAGCACTCCGAGAACAAACCTTGAATCCGGAAAATTGTGCCGCGTTTTGTATCACTAGTATTTATAGCTGACAGGCACTGTACTGCCAGCGCCCCCCTTCACGCTCGTGTGGATTGGTCCAGGCCGCAAGCGGAATATGCCAATCTATTCGCCAAGATCAATGAGCAATAGCAAGACGGAGCGATAGAGATAGCTCATGTTATTTATTCATGCACTCAACGTAATCGGAATGCAATTCCCGCTTCCTTTCAGTAGAATATATCAAAAAATTCGTCAATATAAAGCAGGAAGTTGTGATATATATGTCTTCCGAGTTGTTTTCCAGATCCAGATTTTCCCTCGCTTCCATTGGTTTGTATCTAAAGCGCCTTTTATTCGGCTTAGCTTGATGTGTTTTTTTTACAGATTCTAGCCTGGCGCCACCGAAGTAGAAGAACACTGCGTATGCATATATCAAAGAACTCGGGAACAAATTTTATTTGGAAAACATTACTTCTCGATTGCTCCTGCACTTGCGATATCGGAGACGAAATTTTAGTGAGTTCTGTGCCTTGAATTCCTTGAACTGGGCTAAAAGCAAGCCAAGCCGCGGACTATGAGATTGCAAGACATGTCTCAGCACCTGCATATATTTCTCTAGACCTCTGCATTCCAAATCGGTCTACCCATGTCGCGGCAATTCGCTCATTCCCCTGTTTATATTTGCATAACGTTCCTGGGCCTTATCTTCGTACAGGCCACATATTAAATCACTACTTACATCCGCAAGCTATGCCCCCGCAAGCAGCCCTTCGATCGACGACAACGATGTTCTTTCTTCCTTTTTAGCGACTTTCAATAATCGGCTTCACAGCCGCAAGGCCAATTAAGTGCAGATGCCCCTTAATTCATTTGTGCGAGGTAGATAAGACGGGCGTTACTGATACAGGGGGACATGTCTGCTGACCTCTCCTTGCTAGGATCGTCTTGTGCATTTCGATTTCTGGCCTGTCTGTGAGCGATGAAATGACGCATACGTGTGTCAGTGCAAAGCTTGTACGTTACGCGTAGCGGCACGGGCCGCTACTGACAGATGGTCGTATTTCTGCAAGAGGTTCGAGAGATCTTTAGACGTCAATAATACATGCTAAAAGGCCATGGACGTTTTCAAGTTTCAGGTACACATCATGATTATGTTCATGATTAACGCAAATTTTATTCAACATTTCTCGGATATATCATGACTAGGCTTGGCATGACATTAAGGAATCATCGCCAGCAACGGGCGAATGTCCGAGGCCCGCATGACTCTGGCAGGTTGAGCGGCAATTGATAGTTTCGCAGGATGTCGATCATTCCAAACTTGTGTTACATGGGAAATCCATCATATGAAAATAGACATCTGGTCATTCACCATCTCCTGCTAGTTAGATTAGAAACTATATCTCGCCATTTTCACATCTTGTCATCTCCCCGTCAGAGTCGGACACAGACTTCCCAACAGCCTCGCTCTGTCCCTGACTCCGACTAGATTTGCAAAACGCAGATCAAAGTGCAAGCGGGTAGCGAAGATGCCAAGGCAAAGACTTGAAAGAGAAAGAAAAGAATCGCAAAAGAGCAAACACTATGTCGAATAAACTCTTGTACCTGCACAGAGCGGAAGTCTTCATTATGTCTTACGATTGCGTCCTTGCCGAATTGCCGACTTCATCGCGGTGTTTATCCTGTGTAAGTATATTCATTCATTTAAAGGTGGCTTCCTTATCGTGTCAAGGCACACCCATGGTTTCGGGAACATTACAGTTTCTCCTATTTGTAATTAGGTCCATTTCCGCAATTGAGCGCGCCCGCCTCAAGGGAAAAAAGCGAAGACATATGAATATGTTTGGCATGCCGTCTCACATTATTTTCCATACGAATCAATAGCATGGAAGTCCCGGCACAGCATTCGCCGTTGACCAGAGAAACGCAACCCATATGTTGCGCCGATGGCGACATCGTGTGCTTATTATGTACCATGCGGCTTTGTGCGTCTTTTCACAGTCCCCTGCCGCCGTTCATCCATTAAGTCATATCATAGCCACGCTCAACCACCGAAGACACGTCACCAGACACATTCGACGTACCTGAACAAGAAGACAGGGAGTGAACTTTGATCCTGTACCATTGAAAAAGTCTGACTTCGTAGGTCTAGCCTTGCCGAGGAAGCGACTGACATGAGGCCGACTTGCTTCGCGGACGTTCTAACCGGCGGAATCTTACCTGTGTGTTGGGACGAGCAGACACCATTGTAATCGAACAAAGGGACAGGCTGATTGACAGATGTGGATGTTGCAAAGATAGTGTTTCGGGACTCCTTGAAAGCAAACAAAGCACGCGTGAGATTGACCACTTCGGTTCTCAAGCCGCAACAAGTTTTGTTTTTGCCTTTTTGCGTCCACACCGCCAGTATGTGACACTGATTATTTTGCAAAAACTATTTATGCTGGTTATGCTTCATTGAGTGTCCTCCTGAAATGTTTAAACACTGACGACCAATTCAGGGAAAGCAGAGGCGGACCGGTGCAGCAAAGCCCGTAGCTGACACTCGCCACATCGACGAGATTTCAAGCAAGAGAACACGATGTTGTCTCGGACCGAGGGTGTTTATCCAATCGGACCGGCCGAAAACTACTAGGACCCCGGAGTTTGGCCTATGGCGAAACTACTTCTTTCAGGGTAAAATACCTCATAAGAGCAGACTTATGGTAAAGTTGCAAGTTACCAATGTCATCTTTGCTTGCGCATCTCCATTGACAACCATCAGACGATTTTTGCTCTAATTGTGTGGTGATTTCTTATCTCCCGACACAGCGGGAGCCTTAGAGCTCCGGGAAATGGATTGGATTGCGGGACACAGCATTTGTGATCGGACTGGTATTCCGACACCTCGGAGCGAAGTTTAAAGTAGGGACCCCGTATGCACTAGGCAGCACTGCAACGTCGGAGACCAACGCCACACAGACCTTGAGTAGGCCTCGCGAGCTACAAATGCATCTACAAACATCGCCTCGCAGAGTACAAGGTCAGAATCAGCTAGTCAACACCGGTGTTACAGACACTACTCGTCATAGACGCTCCTCACCGTCAATGCAATGCTGACTAGGCCTGACAAGACGCTCTAATACATGCCACTTTGCTCGGTCAACTGAAAAATAGCCATTATACTAACATTGGAGCCCCGAAATCTCACTCGTTAATAGTTAATCTCACTTCTGTCTGTCTGAACTGGGAAAAGAGTGAAACTGAAGGAATGGAAGAAGATGGTATGTATCTTGCTCTTGCCTTTTCTTCATACCGAACCCGATAAATGTTGCACTGCGCCGTTCATGATTGCACGGTGCATCAGAACGGATGACGAATCGCGCCACTGTCTATTCTTCTCTTTGATATTGCCGGATAATTTATGATCTGTTTTTCACTCGCGGATCTGGAAAGGAGAAATCGTGTAATTCTTCTTTACTATTTGCCGCTAAAAGGTCAAAGGTAAGAAGCATTGCCAACTTCCGTTAGGAAGTTTGTACAAGGTAGGGAACGTACTTAGTGCAACGTTGCACTACATCTACAGCCATCTATCTGATGTGTGTAATGGAACAGTGATATCAGGATGAGTGATCGGAAATTCGAATCTGCTGGGGTGCACATCTTACACATATGGTATTTTTGTGTGTTACGGGCCGTACTAGCAGTTATTATTGGGGGTTTCTAGCTCTTCAGAGCGGTTACTTGGACGAACATCATCCGAGTTGTCTATCCCACCCTCATGGAGACCCGTCAGCCATCGGTCGATACCAGCTCGTCGAGTTACTGCGTTATTTTAGACCCGCACACCTTGGCGTATACTTTCTGAATAAGTACGCTGCTCTTCTTTGATTGTGAGGGAGAACCATTGCTCCCTTACCATCCAACGTGTTATGCGCTACCTGGCGTGTCGCCACATCATTACCCCAAAACATCACAATCGATAACGGAACACCGCAGACATGTCATTTCGAAACCACGCTGTCCGTAACAATTAGCTGCTGTCTGCCAGCATTATTGACGAAATGCGGTAATTCAAGTGGAACGACACTAACTATCATCTTAGAGGATGATAATATGAATCACAGTAACCTATGTTCATTAGATCGTAACAACGGATGAACAACGATGGTGCGCCGCTAACAATTAGGATTCTGTATCACAAACTGTAGTACTAGTAACGTCAAGATGCTCGCAAAAAAGGCTATTTCGTAGATCATAATTAGGGCGAACATGTCAGTCGACTTCTGGATTTCGCCTTCGGCGAAAGTCAGGGGGCTTGCCCCCTGGACCCCCTCTTAATAATAGTTTC